TAAAGAAAAAACGCAGGCTACCTCCTATGCGTCTTCGGCAGGGGGCAAGGGTACGCAAGGACAGCCAGGGTCGGGTGACTCGGGGAGCCAGGAGGCTCCAGTTTCGGCTCGCTAGCCATGCTAGTGGTTTCAGGGAATCCTCTGTCGGCTCTCTCATTTCCCGTTTTATCTTTTATTATGTTGAATGTTTTTGCTTGGAACTGCCAAGGGCAGGTCATGATCGTTTTGGTTCTTTCTTGCAGTCGTTTTTTTGTGCCGACTAGGCCTGATATTGTCATAATTGTTGAACCACGCATTAGCGGTAGCGTGGCACAACGGGTAATCTCTCGCATGGGATATGATAGTCTTCTAATGATTGACGCTGTTGGATTTTCTGGAGGTATCTGGGTTCTTTGGAATAAACAGGAGCTCCGAGTAACAGAGTTGGATGCTTGTGAGCAAATGATCCATTTCAGATGTCAGAGACATAATTCCAGTGATGGTGGAGTGGTTATCTCGACGGTGTATGGGAGCCCGAATGCAGCTACAAGACAAGAGCTTTGGGGCCGCATAAGTGATTTGGCTCCTCGCACCCATCAACCATGGTTACTAGTCGGTGATTTCAATTCCATTTTAGGACCGAATGATCGCCGAGGAGGAGTGGATTATCAGGAAGCTCGCTCACGACCTTTTCGATCTTGTCTCAATAATAGCAGTCTGCTTGAAGTTAGTTTCACGGGACCTCGGTTTACTTGGAGGCGTGGTACTCTCTCACAAAGACTGGACTAGGCTCTATGTAATAAAAAATGGCTCCAAAAATTCCCGGACACTGTCAATCGTCACCTGGAAAGGATCGGCTCGGACCACCGCCCAATCCTCTTGGAATCGGAGCTGGCAGCTAAACTTGTACTTGACAGGCCCTTCCGGTTCCAGGTTGCGTGGCTTGGACATGATGATTTTGCTCGCCTGATGGAGGATTCTTGGAACCCCGCACTCATTATCCCGATCTCTCTTGCACGTCTCACTAATGTGCTCAAAGACTGGAATAAGCGGGTTTTTGGAAACATTTTCCGGCGGAAGAGAGCTCTTATTGCAAAGCTTCAGAAACTGGAGGAGGTGAATGAGACCTCCAGCTCGGCCGGATCTCGTGCCCTTGAGGAATCCACTCGGCAGGAGTTAGAGGGAACATTGTGGGAGGATCAGATGTTATGGATTCAGAAATCCCGAGTAATTTGGATTAATGAAGGCGACCGGAATACTCGTTTCTTTCACCTGTCAACTCAGAAGAGGCGGCGGTTTAATAAAATTATAGCACTGAGGGATGAAGAAGGGGTCTGGGTGCATGATGAGGCTGTGTTGAAATGCATGGCGCGGGACTTCTACGTGGTGTTATACCAAGCGGACGAGGGTGCGGCACCCTGGGTACCCGCGTCGTTCGAGAAGCTGAATGAGGAGTCGAGACGGATGCTTGATCATGACCTGTCTGATCTGGAGGTACGGCAGGCTGTGATGGACATGGGCAGCCTCAAAGCTCCGGGGAAGGATGTCTACCAACCAGTGTTCTTTGAGAAATGTTGGGGTATTGTTGGTGAGGCCTTCTCCCGGTTTGTGGAGGACTGCTTTCGAAACCCGGGGCAGGTGCAATGCATTAACGAGAACCTTTTGGTGTTGATCCCTAAGAAGGAGAGTCCCGAGTCGATTAAGCAGTTCAGGCCTATCGGTATCTGCAATGTGATCTACAAAGCCCTGGCCAAATGCTTAGTGAACCGGATCAAGCCCCACATGAACAGCTGGTGCATCCAACGCAAACCAGTTTTGTCCCGGGCAGGCACATAACGGATAATATTATTATTGTACAGGAGGTGGTCCATTCTTTGGGACTTCGCACCGGAAAGAAGGGACAGATGATCCTGAAAATTGATTTAGCAAAAGCATGCGACAGTGACACGCCAAAACACAACACCAAACTGCGACCAAGTGTAATCACAGTCCGGGAATGCAGTAACAGGCAAGTTCAATTATCAACCCGGGGTCTAGATCTACTGCTTACTCCGTGATTCTCTATTATCTAGCAAACTAATTCAAGTGATTGTTGTTTAAAGCAAAAGCAGTAAGAAAGCAGTAAATTGTTCGGTTTTCAAAGTCAGGAAAGAGTCACTCGGGATTGAGTCCCCCTAGCCCCTTGATTAGGTCCAATTGTAATTACCCTGGGTTGATTCACTGTTGATTAGACTGCGGAAGTTCCGACAGTAGCTTGGAATCTCTTAAGCTGACCAAGCCCTCTCAGTCTAACTACCCGGCAGACGACTAGTCTTCACCGGGATAGAAAGCTGAGGCTATGAACACAGAACTCCACTACTGGAATTGAATTCCAGTACAAAGCAGTAAATTGGCTAACTCTCGTATAGCCAATCTCCTACTATCGAATGAAGAGGCTCTAACAACCTAATCAGATTCTATCTATCTCAGGTTGCAGCAGAAATCGAGAAAAGCTGATCAGACTCCAATCAATTCAATAAACATGCATCATTCGATTAAAATCAAACAGTAATATCATCCCAAGTCATTACAATCAAATCCCTAACACCAGGAACTAGGGTTCTTCATACCCAAGTGAGAGAAGGGTTCTACTCCATAGAGAGAGAAGAGAAAACAGTAATCGGATTAGTCATACTCATAATGATGAGGAAAATCTGCTCCGGGATGATGATTTCCACTCCTATGATGATCTCCAGGCTCGATTCGATGAAACCCAGGTCCAAGATAGCTTCTAGGATGTGTTCTTCGTACTTTCTCTCTCTAGGGCTCTGTTTCTGCTCTGAAAAAACGATTCTCCACTTTTGGCTCGAAATTGGCTCAAAAACCAGAATTTCCCGACTCGCACGGACAGGCCACACGGCCGTGTAGCTCACCACTTTGCCCGTGCGAGTCAAAACGCGGCGTCCCATTAAGTTCGGTCTTCAGGCTTCCTACACGGCCAGGGTCGCACGGCCGTGTAGGATTTCCATCCAGCCCGTGTTTGGCCTCGGCAAAAATCACACGGCCAGGGTTGCACTTTGCACGGCCGTGTAAATTCATGGGTTGCCCGTGCGTGGCCTCGGCAAAAATCACACGGCCAACTTGCTCACTTGCACGGCCGTGTGATGCCCCGGTCTGCCCGTGCGGCTTCCTTGACACCTCGCCACGCGTCCGATCTTCGTCCAATCGACCCCAGACTCGCTCCCAAGCCTCCATTCACATACTAGGACCTGAAATATCACAAACAAGCACAACCTAGCGTGAAATCGGCCTAAAACACGAGAATCAACACCTCAAACGGTGTAAGAACGGGGGTAAAAACATGTGCAAATAACGGTCTATCAGACAGACTGAGCTGGAGTTTCTTGAACGAGACCCTTCTGGCGGCGGGTTTTCCTCCTCGTCTGACGGACGCCATCATGGCTTTTGTAACTTCTTCGACCATGTAGGTGTTGTGGAATGGCGAGGAAACTGACAGCTTCAAACCGTCTCGGGGATTTCGCCAAGGGTGCCCACTCTCGCCATACCTCTTCACCCTTTGTATGGAACGCCTCAGCCATACGATCCAGGAGGCGGTAGCGAAAGGAGACTGGAAGCCGATTAAAACCTCCACAGGTGGCCCTCTGCTCTCCCATTTGTTTTTATGTGATGATCTGGTCTTGTTTGCAGAGGCAAGTGAGGAGTAGGGAACGGTAATAATGGAGTGCCTAGATCGCTTTTGCCAAGCCTCAGTGGAGCTGGTGAGCAAAGACAAGTCCGTCATCTTTTTCTCCAAAAACACGAAACGCAGCACTTGCTCGGCAATCGCTCTCAACATGGAGATGACTATGACCCAAGATTTGGGTCACTATCTGGGAGTTCCGGTTCTTCATGGTCGGGTTACTCAGGCCAATTACAAGTACATCCTGGACCGCCTCGACAAAAAGCTGGTTGGTTGGAAGGCGAAGGCCCTCTCCCTCGCGGGTAGAGTCACTCTTGCTGTCTCAGTGCTAACTGCCTTGCCTACTTATGCTATGCAGACATCCTTCCTCCCCATCTCGATCTACGATGAAATTGACAGGAAGATTCACAGTTTTATTTGGGGATGAACGGCGGATGCTAGAAAGATTCATCTGGTCCACTGGGAGGATATTTGTCGTCCGAAGAAGGATGGTGGCCTTGGTCTCCGAAAGGCGCATGGGCTCAATCTTTCCTTTTTGGCTAAACTTGCTTGGCTTTTTGTCAAAAACCCAAATGAACTGTGGGTGCAGGTTCTGCAGGCTAAATACTTCCGTATTGTGAACGGGCAAATGGTGGCCAAGTCTATGGCTAGAGCCTCCTCACTATGGAGAGGTATGCGGCGAGCCTGGCCTATTATGGCGGCCGGTATGGGGATGGCAATTAAGGATGGTTGTGGCACAAGTTTCTGGTTGGACCGATATGTGGGGGACGGTGAGCCATTGCTTGATCAGGCCTTGGAGTCCGCCCGACATCTGGACCCCGGACAGCCTGTTGCCGCTTTCGTAAACACCCGAGGTGAGTGGGACGTTGAGTTGTTGTCAGAATTTTTACCCACTGATGTTATCTCGCAGGTGATTGGGGTACAACCTCCTATTGTTGGGTCCGGTGAAGACGTCGCCATCTGGTTCCCAGAAGAGGACGGGAGGTTCCGAGTTCAGTCTGCATATGATTTAGCAACCAACAAGGAGGATCTGGCCCGGGACTTTGATTGGCGCACCATCTGGCGCTGGGAGGGGCCTGCCCGCATTCAACACTTCTTGTGGCTAGCTGCTCGTGAGTGCCTGCTGACAAACGGAGAATGAGGTCGACGTCACCTAACGACACACACTACTTGCCCTTTTTGCCAAGCGGATTCCGAGTCAGTCCTGCATGTGCTGCGGGACTGCAGCTTTTCTAGGTTAATATGGATGTAGTTAATCCCTTCTTCTGAATGCCAACCTTTCTTCGGAGCGAGCTTGCATGATTGGTTACTCAACAACCTTCAGAGCCAGAACAACAGTCTTGAGTTTGGTATTACCTGCTGGTCCCTTTGGAGGACCAGAAATGATCGTGTCTTCGCAGGCAAGATCATCACCCCTAAGACCTTCCTGCACCGTGTCCGGGCTTGGTTACCTATAGTGAGGAATGCCCTGGATAAGGACAAGCTCATCCATAAGCCTTGTCCGCCTGCTAGAACGGAGGAGCAGATCTCTTGGAAGCCGCCTCCTCCCGAGTGGGTTTTCCTCAACTCTGACGGCTCCGTCCTTCTTGAGACAGGCCTCGGCGCTGCTGGTGGCCTTATCCGAGATCATTCAGGACGCTATCTTTCAGCATGCACTTTGAACCTGGGTGCGTGCACTATCACCCAGGCGGAGTTGAGAGGTGCAGTGGAAGGTCTACAGGTGGCGTGGGACAGGGGACATTGCAGGATTCGTGTCCAGCTTGATTCGCAGTGCGCCGTTCAGCTCATTCGGCAGACGGATACCGAGGAGCATCATTGTGCAGCTGTCCTAGCTCGATTCATGGAGCTTCTGTCTAGACCCTGGGAGATGTTAGTACAACATGTGTATAGAGAAGGTAATAGATGTGTTGATTTTCTGGCTAGTCGAGGACATGTGGTCCCGTTTGGTTTTCATGAGGTTGTAAGTTCCGATCTAATGCTCTCGTATTGGATCATGTATGACTGTCAGGGGATCTCCGAACCCCGGTTGGTTTGGAATGAAAGGTAGGGGTGTTTCTGCATCCATTATCAAAAAGAAAAAGAAAGAGAGATAGAAATCGAACCTCAATGCCAAGTTGCCTTTGATGTACGGTTGGAGCCTACGGTAGTTGCACTTCGGAGTTTCCTTCTTGTGAGGATGATCCATCATAGCCCGTAGACACCTACGTTGGTTGCTTTGTTGTGCTTGCTCCTAGATTTGAGTTCATGGTTCTTCTCTTGGGACTTGTGTTTCTTCTCATCAAGGACGGTTCCAACTTCTTCGTTGTTGGGGGCTTATTGAAATAAAAACCTTTCCTTCTGTTGGATAGTCCTAATAAGAGAAAAATCACCAAACATGTCCAAACAAACCATTAGCAACTCACTTATCAATTGATCGACGAAATTCATCCGTAGGTTCACTCTATACACCCCACACTTAAGTGTTACAAAGTAGAACTAGAGGTGCATAGGTGGAAACGTATGTTGAAAAGACTATAGTCGAGGTCTAAATGCATGAAAACAAGGGTATCATGTCATTCTAGAGGTTTCTATACCTCGGCTGAAGGCTAGGATCAACTCATTTGACAACAACAAAGGTGTGAACTAATGGCTCTAAAAGCATATCAAAGCACAAAATCAAAAGTGAGCCAAAGTTGCAAACTCAAGGATCATGCATCAAGGATTCAGTCTCAAATCAGAAACACACTCCTAAGGGTCTATCTTAATCGAACAAGTTCAATTGGAAAGCAATGGATCAAGCAAAAAAAGTTATATGTGGTTTGGAAATTTCATCGCGCACTTGATGGGCGATATTCAAACTCCACAAATTCACAAAAATAAAGCCCACCAAGGCCTCCAAACACACATACACATTAATAAGCACAAAGTTTATGATCTTATTGCGCTAGCCATGCCATTCCCTAACCTAGATAGCTAAGATGGTAGGCTAGAACAACATGCTTAACAACCATTGCAACCATTCCTTAAGCAAGTAGAAAGTCTCCAAACAATCATTCATTCGATTCTGAGCATAAAAGGGTTCATTCACTAGCTAAATGTATAACTACTACTTAGAGCAATATCAAACATGCAAGTTTATTAATGAAAAGGGTAAATGAAATGCAAAACGGTTGTTGTGGTACTTCCCAACAAGTGCCTCTATTAAGTCCTATCACCGGACGATTGTCTTCAAGTATTCACCCAACTTAAACCTTTGACTCGCTCGGAACTACACCGCGAATTAATCCCGACTAGAGCGCAAGTTTTTAAACTCTAGCCGGGTGCAGTATAGGGCAAGTATTTAATTGTCAAACCCGGGCCTGTCCATGTGCCCCTACTTCAATCGCTTAAGTTGTTATCTAGCAAAATGGTTTTTGGGTTTAAAACTAAGGAAACTACAAAGTGAACGAACAAGGAAAGTAAATCGAGGAGAATTCTACTTGAGGGGACTTCACCTGGCTATTGCTCTCCCTAGTCTCGTGCTAAGAAGTGAAAAACAAAGCTCTAGTGTGAAGGACGTGTTCATACACCACTAGGTGGGCGCAACTAGCTAGGGACAAACTCCCTTTGTCGATCAATGAAGGGAAATCAACAAATACAAGCTAAGGGAAACTAGTTCTCTTAACCGTTAGGTCAAGGATTGTGATTCATAGCTAGAGAGTCTAGCCCTCTTTATCGATCAACCAAGGAGATCCCTAACTCTTAGTTAGCTAATTGAGAGTCGTTGTAACAAGTTAGGAAGCTAACTCACTTAACCTTTCGGCTAAGGGTGACAACGATAGGCTAGGGAACCTAACCCTCTCAACTAGCCGACTAAGAATTGCAAACCAAACCCTCGGAACTTAATCCGGTCGTCAGAGAGACGTATCTTGGTGAAATCACGGCCCTACTCCGATATTTGAGATTTTGGTCTTAAATTGACCTAAAGGAGGTTACACAAGTGGCTAAAGAGTCTAGCTCCTAATTGGACCAAGAGGGGATTTCCACCCTCTAGGTTAATTTCACCATAATATTGAGTTAAAACTAGCACACTCAATCATTCATGAATAATACCTTAAATATTATATAAAACACTCAACCAACACAAAAAGGTTCATGTTGTTACATCCTAACACATAGAGAGACTAGGGTTCACAATACCCAAGTGAGTAGGTAGACTATTCCATAGCTAAACAAAGGAAAACAACAAAAGGGAAAGAAAGAACCATGAAGTGATGCCAATCCTTCCTCTTTGTTGCTTGAGACACCCTTGAGGTGAAGAAATCTTCAATCCTCTAGCTAGGAACAAGCCCAAAGCTCCTTTTTCCTCCTTTCATTTTCACTTTCTCACTCTAAAAGAAACCCTAACCTCTCACTAGAATCCTCTTTATTCTGAAAAATGAAAACCTAACCTAAAAACGAAGCTCTCTTTTCTTCTTCAACTCCCCTCTCCTTTTATACCCAAATCAGGCTCAACTCAAGGTCTTAGAGATGAGTTCAAGGATGCGTTGATCAGTTCACGGTCTTAGTTCAAGGATGCGTTGAGCAGTTCACAGTCTTAGTTCAAGGACGCGTTGAGCAGTTCACGGTATTTGTTCAAGGGCGCGTTGAGAATTCACGGTCTTAGACCTCAGTTCATGGCCGTGAACATTGAAACGCGTCCGTGAACTCAGTGCTGAGACCAAAACGCACCGCTTCATATCCACGGTTCACGGTTTGTGCTTAGCGTCCATCAGTAACCTCCGGATTCGCCCTGGATGCTTCGCGGTTAACGGATTTTGGCTGTAGTTCACGGTCCCGTAAGACCGTGAACTCCAATGGCAGACCTTGAACACAGGCCGTTTTCTCCTGTTTGCTCCTTTTCTTCCAACTTTCGACTCTGGGGCTAGTTTCACCTGTTAGATCCTGAAACACGCTAAAACACAAGAAACCTAGCATAAAACCACCATTTTGGAGCAAAAAGGCCAAAAACACCCAAGAGAAACAGGGATAAAATGCGTACAATTAGGCCTGAATCACTCCGCCACACTTAGACGTTTGCTTGTCCCTAAGCAAACCATTTCACACAAGGTAATATCTCAACCTAACAAAATACCTTGGGGACAACTCAAAGGGCACCAAGTGAGAATTCTCAATGGTTATTGGCAATTAACACATGAACCGTTGCAAGCAATACCGACATCCACCACAAATGACATTCGAGGCCATCAAAAATGGGCAAACAAAAAGTTCTCACCTTGTGTCATGGATCAATGCAAGTCTCAACAAGATCACTTACCAACCACAACTAACCATGCATAGAGTTCAAGTCCATGGAACAAACGGATGGGCAACAAAGGTCCTCACGGGGATATGATATGACATGCAAAGCAAGAATGAATCACTCACTCTCTTGACCAGTGGGGTCGGGACCTTATGGTGCAAAGAATGTGCACAATGATCAACACTCGGCCCTATCGTCTCAACACCATGTCGGCAACCTCTAAATGCTAGAGTTCACGGGATGGTTGTCATCACTAGCTTGTCCGAAGGTCTTAGACGCGGGTTAAATGACTAGCAATTGTCTTGGACATGGGGAAAAGGTCTTTTGGCTAGTGGCAAACACAACATGAGGTTCTACATTTTCAACCTAAACCCGAAGTTTCTATGGTTTCGACTAAGAACCTTTTCTACAAGCAATGGCCACTAGCATCGGCCAAAAACCTTACTTCTCCCTTCTAAACTATCACCCATCACGAACTACCTTTAAGCACACTTCCTCGGTAGACTCTTGCTATCATATTTCGATATGGTAGTGAAGGAGTTCTAAAACAATGTGGGGGTTTCAATGGCTTGGGTGCCAAGAAACCCCTCCTAGAGCATACACTTTGGTTTTTCGTGGCACTCTCTACTTTATTTCGATTCCTTTTTTATTACCTCTTTTTTTTCGATGCCTTTTCCTTTTCTACTTTCTTTTCTTTTTCTTTTTCTTTTGAGGGGGCACTAGAGAGTAAAACTCTTGCCACCTATACATTTAATGACCAATGTTCTCTTTTTTAAGAACTCACTCCAACACTACACATCCTTTTCCATTCCTAGCAAGAACCACACAAAAACCTCATATGTAGAACCTTTATGGAAACTCAAAAGTGAGAGCTCCGGGACACAAGGACGACTCATGTTTAGACACGAAGAAAGGATTGGGGGTCATTCTATCAACACCATTAAGCTCACAAACACGAAGCTCCTAACTTAAGAACGACCCTCAAAGTCACAAGGCTCAAAGGGGTTGACTAGTGGATAACACATTTTGGGACAATCAACATTTGGGCATGGACTAATCCTATGCCTCCATCATACTCGCTAGTGACAACTGTGATGTTACTCGCCATGGTAAGAGGGACATAAGCACACAAGAAGAAAACGATCAGCTCAATTCTCACATGGCTACCTAGTCACCCAACCATCTATTCCAATTCACAAAGCAACATGCATGGCAATTGTAATCAACAAGTAATCGAGTCAAGATATCCATTCATTTTTGCACACAAGAGAACTAAACCTTTGCATTATCCTAATAAACCTCTCTGTCATTGATAGACCGATAATTACACATGTTTTCACCCCTATTCTTGAGCCGTTTGAGATATTGATTCTCGTATTTTAAGCAGATTTCACGCTAGGTTGTGCGTATATGTCATATTTCAGGACCCGGCGTTGGAATCGAGGCGAAGGAACGAGATTCGGGTCGAAAGGAGCAAGTGAGGCTTGAAGTGTGCTGGAGGAAGAAAATACCCGGCCATGACCAAGAATACCCGGCCGGGTATTATTTTGAGGAGACCGGGGATTTGTTGTTTTGGGCGTCTGAGAAACAGAGAGGGGCCCGGTCGGGGATTATTGGACATGACCGGGGATTTTTCCCTTACCCAAAACGCGCGTTTTAATAATACCCGGTCGAGACCCAAAATACCCGACCGGGTATTTCGACCGGGTATCGCGACAGGCAGCAGTTTTAAGGGAAAAGAGGGCTGCAAATCAAAGGTTCCGAGTTTTAGAGAGACAGAGCGATTC